GGGATGAGGTGAAGCGCGGTGACTGATCAAGTCTGATGAAATAATCCGTCGTTTTGGAATCACATACGGATTCCTCGCCCTCTGAGCTGGACTGGAAGTCATTGTCAAATATGTAGCCAGTAATGCAACGAGCGTGCGCAAATGGAAGGCATAGGCCCGTATTCCGAAGCGCTCCTTAGCTCAGTCTGGCGGCCTTAACTGCTTGAGGAAGCCTTATCAGGTATTATGGAAGGCTAAGCGGATCTATAGTCGTTGTAGCATCCGTTTCCCAGTTTTACGGATGAGACGATCTGCTGATACCGGAGCCCTCCACTACGACGTCTCTTATAATCATATGCTGGTTTCGGTACGTTAAACCAATCAATCAATCAATCAATCAAATCAACGATCAGCAGATAGGCGTTGCAGCTCAGCTTCAGTCTATCCCGATAATTTCACCTCTAAAGCCGAAAAAGGGATACTACAGCCAAGCTCAAAGACCAACGCAACAACCTGTGCACGTGCGGCCATACTTTGTAACTCGAAGAGTCAGCGAGGCACTCTCGCACGTGTCTTCAATATGCACGATTTGCGCATTGCTCCCGCCCGCCCGAGCAAGCTCCGGAACCAGCTCGCGAACGTTAAAGCCAGGCTGCCAAGTGAGTCATTCCCAGGTGCAGTGTATAAGCTAGATACTCTGATTGCTGTCAATTGTACATTGGCGAAGCAGAACGTTCTCCCGGCACCTCAAGGAGCACCAAAATGACGCGACTATACAGTAGCATGACGTATGCCATTGCTGGGCATGCGCAAAACCAAAACCACAACATTGACTGGGAAAATGTTACTATCGTTCTCAAGAAAAAAAAAAAAACGTGTCGTATCCCGCCGGCTCCTATCAGACCAGCTACAGTGAATATAGGACGACATGAACTATGCCTGTCATTTACGCACGCTCGTTGCTTGACCTACTGGCTTCATGGTTGACAAAGACTTCCCGTCCAGCTCGAGGACAACGAACTCGTACGCGGTTCCGAAACATCAGACGTATTTCATTTCATTTATTTCAAATATGCCATCTTAGAGCGAAAGAGGGACATGATGCTGTGCTGCTGTGCTGCTGAACTCAAAAAAAGAGGCAAAATAGGTAGGAACGTCGATCTCTTATATTCGAGTTTTGTCCTAAAACATCAAATCCTTCAATAAGTGTAAACTAGCCCTAAAGATTGATTGTGGAACGCAAAAACTATAGCAAAGTAACTAAGAGACAAATGGAACAGATTGGATGAGAATATGTTGGTTGTTTTATTCACGATTGCGTTGACGCAACACTGGTTCACTGAATGTGGCTCCGTTTGATTGACCATGCAGATGCAGGATTCGGATCATTTTAGATGCGGAGAATTTTATAGTCGCACCTACTCGCAAATCCGGCATCAGCAGTGTCGTCTACCCCCCTTCCCCCCACCCCACCCCTTGCGCATGTTCGCGCCCCGCGCCAACTGTCGCTTATTTAGGGGAGGGGAGATAATTTTTATGTGGAGCTGTGGCGGGGGGGGGGGGGGCGCACGTGTTTCGTAATACACCCCCATGCTGCGTCACTGGGCACGGGCCGCTGTCGTCGCTCGTTTTACGGTGGGCCTAACTTGTGTCTTCGGATACAGTGTACTAGAAGGAGGCACTGGAATGAACGAGGCGGCCGCGCCGCATCTCGGCTGATTATCCGGCGGGTGACAGTAGCGGTGGCGCTGTATTCACATGGTACTGAAGATATCAGGAGCGTCTGCATTGGGCGCGCGTGCCGTAGCCTGCGAAAGCGTATATTTGCTCGTTTTAGCGCGTTTAATGCATTTCTGAGCCTTTATCATTGTATGCACACCTGCTACGCGCCATGGTGCGCAAGTGAATATGCAGGCACGCCGAAATGGCGTCGATACATTCACTGTTTTAAGAGCCTGCTGAATAACACACACACACACACACGCACACGCACACACGCACACACACACACACACACACACACACACACACACACACACACACACACACACACACACACACACACACACACACAAATGTCACTCGGAATTTGCAAGGATCCGCCTAGCTTCTCACTGTACCAGCGCTTTGAGCTGCGTTACATCATAAGTGGCTGCTGGCGAACTACAAAGAGAGGAGAAGTAACAAAACTGCGATTAAATCATACGCCCGTTTTGTCGACAGTCTCTACGATATTCAGAGCACAGTGTTCCTCATATGAGCCTACATGCGCTCGATCTTTTCACGAGAAACCCGAGTAACGTTGTCACAACATTTATATCGGTGAGGACTCAGTTTTGTCATGCCAGTTTTGCGGAAGATAATTATTGGTTATCAAAAGGCTTATTACATATTGAACATATTAAACACAACACACAAACATGTTAAAAAGTGCCAATTGTATATATAGCCCGTCTGTTAATCTGCGTAAATTTATTGTAACCAGTTCTCATTTTGTATCGACAGCTTAAATTGTGCTGCTTTCCAAATAATCTATTGGCGTAACACCATTGCATTAAGGCAGTGGCACATCTTGTTTTGAGAAATTTAACTTATATATGTACTAAGTATATCCACAAGTACACGCATTTAAGTCACACGTCACCGGCCCATTAACTATATGCATGCAATGTTCCTTAGCATAGCTACTACTTTTAGGCGGTGTATTTCTCGTCTGACTACGCTAGACTTGAACTACTTTTAGGACGTCATACTTTCGAAAAGGTGAAATTTACAGTGCGCATTCGTACAGAGACACGCTATATTCAGCTTCGCCAACTGTAAACCTTTAGCGCAAGGCTATCACCCAGAATTTTTTTCAGGGGCCGGGGGGGGGGGGGGGCTTTCAGCAGAACGACTATTTTTGGCAAGTGATGGTTGCTCTGAATGCTTGTAAATATTTATTTTAGTAGACCCTAAAAAGTTAAAACTAAGAAAAAATTCATGGTTTAGGGGGTTCAGGTTTCCTTCTTCTCCCATTTCTACAACGGCTTCCCGGTTCTGCGTGCATTTGAAACAGTATTTTTTAAATCTCACAGCTTTCTGAGCACAGCTAACTTCCAATAAATCAGCTCAGTTATTTTTTACATTGTAGATGCCTAACCAAAGAAGAAAGAGTTCGGACAGAGCAAATCGGTATGTGACACGCCCTTTCTGAATTATTTTCGATCTCTCACAAAGGCTTTTATGGAGCTCAAGTTTAGTAGATTGGCGTGTCATACTTCAATGGCTATGGCATCGTATGCTAGACATGAATGGTGGGAAGGTACGAAGAAATCCGCATCAAGAAAGCGCGACGGAGGAGCCGAAGCGCATAGCAGTTCCTGCGCGCGGCGCGTGACTCTTTCAGTAGTATTCGACTGCAGCGCCGCCGCTACGGGCAACACGGAAGGGATCAAGCGGAGAGGCGCGGTCACGCCACTCAACACTTCTAGTACACCCCACTTCGAATCCGAGCCGAGAAGAACTGCCTCCCATAGAGTTTCCTAATTTTAGGAAACTCTATGCTGCCTCCCATCATTCTTTGTTGGGTTGTGTCTTCACGGCCTCTGGATGGCCGCCGTGTCCATACCACCCATAATATTAGAGAAAACGGAGAGAAAACGGTTACTTGGTGTTCTGCGCAAAATAAAAAAAACCGCCACTTTTTAACTTGCTTACTAGCGCCATCTAGCATTGAGTAATACAAACTACAAGAACTATTTATGGCTTCCGAGATTGCTCATCGACAATTATATAGAGCATAAAGCTGATAATTAATTTCATTTATCAAAACTACTGCTTTTATTGACCAAAATCATTAGAATGTGCTATTGACGCGCAATCTATTGTTTACTGACAAAAACAAAAATGGTAAAAATGTGGATAGATAACTAAGCATGTACCCTTCAAATAGTGTGGTGATTCCCGTCAGCTAGCTCCAATTCATAGTGAAGTTGAGTAGTTGAGTACTCAAAATTTTCAATTTCATTCTTGCCTTTATTGTAGCTATTATTGTCTGAAACTTTATGATTGTAGCCAACCACTAATCAGAAAACCTCAAGGAGGATTAAAAAAATTGCTGGAGTGGAAATGATTGCGCAGAAGTGAAGCCATTCCTCTGGCAAGATGGCCGTTGTGTCGGCCATCTTACTAGGGGCATAATAAAGTATCACCGTTCAGCGATTAAAAACGGAGCGTTTCCCTCGCACGCCTAACGAGTTTAATGTGGGAACTTTTTCGGGCCACATAGTGCTCCAAGTGCGTCTTAAAGTTACTAGTTTTCCGTAGTGAGCCTCTAGTTGGAGGCAAAGTTCTTTGAATTTTCAGTCATCCATACTTGTTTCTCTGTGTTATTTTGTCGGGAACAACTATCCTTTAATATAGAACTAACGTAGCATTTGCATAACGTATCAAAGCAACTTGATTTTTAAGTGGGCACTATCAGAAAAGAGCATATTTTCGCCATCTTGGCAGTGGCAAAAGGTGGCTTCACTTCTGCCGGCAAGGCAATGCAGGAGCTTCCACTCCAGCAATTTTTCTTTAATCCTCCTTGGAAAACCTTTATGATGTTTACAATGTTGCATGCGTTCACGAAGGATGGAAAGATTTGCGTGCGCGCGGCCCTGAGCAAGTTGTGCAGCTTCAAAAAGTGGACGTTGAAGTGGCAATTTCGTGTTTTTTATTACCAGTCAGAGATAACATGACAGCTTACAAGCTCCAGCAAAATTGACCATGGGGCGTTTGGATTTTAAAACGAAATTTGAATCCTGACATAGAGTTTTATACAATAATTGTATAAAATTCTGTGAACGCTGGCATTTTTCATTTTTTTTTTGCCAACTTGCCCACTATACTTTTTGTACACTTTTGGTCCCCTAGCGTCAAATCTGTCAGCACAGGAGGCGCTGCCTGCAGCGCCACTGATTGCTACTGTGTATTGTGTCAGTGTATATATATATACTTGCAGCACTGCGTTACTTCTATTCACTTTGCGCACTGATCCTGAACGGAGCTGTCTTCCTCCGTGGGAGCTGTAGGTGCACTCCGAGGCGCATTCTTCCCTGGCACTCCTTGGTCTCAATCCATGTCCATCGTTCGCAGAATGAATCGGTAAGGATGAAACGTTTCAATATTTTCCATCGTTACTATAAAAGCTAGCACTCTTCTGTGTTTTGTTGGATTTTACAGCTGAACTTGGAGAAACTTTTGTTCGTCAGTGATGATACTACACAGACCTGTTCCTAATTTTATTTGAAGGAATGCTTTAAGACTGAATCTTTCAATAATTCAAGCTTTTGTGCACGTGCACCGCAATACGCTAATTGCGACTTGTTTTTCCAACATTGCAGTGTACCAGCGGTGGCGCAACGTGGCTTCATCGTGACACCACGTGTGTACGTATGCTGCCATTCTTTGGCTACATAGCTTATCGCACGTGATGCTTGTTATCCCTGTCCTACTAAAAGTGAGGAGAATGTTTCACTGATCAAAGTAATGTTGTTCCATATTTATATACGTCAGCTGCAATCTCTTACCTCGTATTTGCACGATTTGCTTGCAGACTCGTGTACCCGACAGCTCGCCGGTCGCAGATGAGTAAGTATCGACTGCGGTGGCTGTAATATTTTGCGCATGTGATGACAAACCTAGCTCACACCGAGTACGATGAAGATATGAACGTGGCTGACTGCGTGTTCTAACGTGTGATCTACAGCTTTCTCGCGGTTACTTCTGACGGCGAGTTTCTTTTATTGCAGCGTCGATTGAACCTGCCGGCGTTAGTTGAAGCAGCGACTGAACGCTCCTGTTAAGAGGTAAGTGTAACAGAAGCAACTTTCTTAGTGGCCGTCAACTGCACGTTCTTTTTTTTTTTTTTCTCGGCATCGTTGTATTTCTCTCAAGCCCCAGATCGAGCTACGAGGATACTTGCTAATGTTCGAGCCTACGCTAGGTGTTAGTGAAATAACACTTGTTGGATCACGCAACCCAGTCGCATGTGTAAAGGAGGTCTACAAACGACGCTTAATCAAACAGTCCAAATCTGACAAAGCTCCTAATATGCACTCAATGGTAGCTAAGCAGGTGGGATGCTAAGTACGACGACGCGGGTTTTGATTTTCGGCCGGAGCCGTAATGAAGGAATGCCCATTTGCCTAAATTTAAGTGCACATTGATGCTGGTGGCCGGCTTTAAAATTCTACATTAGTGTGCTTGATAGTTTTGTGACTTGTTAGTAAAGCCTCTTAACTGCAGGGCTTATATTTGCAATCAATATTCCCAATTATAGTGTAGCAGTACCTATGGGCATAAAGCAAATTTTCTAGTCGCTGCTGGTCTCTTGTGATGCCAGTGTCTCAAAGTTTTCACAGGGTTCATGTTGCCTTTACAAATGCTTTATGCCGGTTTGTTCTGCACTGTAATTGCACTTGACAGTCACTCTATGCCTGTGATGATCAGTGACAAGCATATGTCTGAAATCATTTGCGGACACTCCAGATATCTGAATGTGCTTTACATTCGTAAGTGTGTATGTTGTAGGTCCTTGGTATTCATTCCCGTTGCTCATAATTTCAGCATGCGATGAGCTGTGCCTTCCTCATTTCAAAAGTGAGTATTGCAATGTTTTGTAGTTCTTTATTGCATGTGATGAATTCTTTGTCTCGTTCGTATGAGTATACTGATTACACGAATCGGAATATGCTGACACTTTGCATGCTTTGCCGAAGGTTGCGTTTCCCGACTGTTCTGATCATTGCACTTACTTTTTCAGGGCAGTTCTTTCAGACAAATTTGGGATGTCTGCAGGCAGTGCTTCTTGGATTTGGTCCTATCAAACAGGTTTGTTGATTTACTGCTGCTCGAGTTTCTTTATATGTATGATGATTCAAGTCCTCTTAATTTTTATTGGTGAAATATACTTGCCCTCACTGATGGTCAAGTTTTCTATAGCATTTTGCAATTCCTTTGCTATCGCTAAACTATCTCCTATGTTATTACAGGTTTGCTTAAGCTGCCTTTGAAGCGTTCTGATTGCCAATAGTGAATCTGCACTAGTGGATGAGACATCCCGGCTGCGGCGGCTGCATTTGCGATGGAGGCGGAAATGTTGTAGGCCCGTGTGCTCAGATTTGGGTGCACGTTAAAGAACCCCAGGTGGTCGAAATTTCCGGAGCCCTCCACCACGGCGTCTCATAATCATATGGTGGTTTTGGGACGTTAAACCCCACATATCAACAACTGGTGGATGAGACTTGGTCCCATTGAAAGGTTTGTTGATTTACTACTGCTAGAGTTGCTTCATATGTATGATGATTCAAGTCCTCTCAATTTTTCTTGGTGAAATACTTGCCCTCACTGATGCTCAAGTTCTTCATAGCATTTTAGAATTCCTTTGCTATTGCTAAACTATCTCCTATGTTATTACAGGTTTGCCTGAGCGGCCCTTGAAAGTGTCACGATCAGCCAATAGTGAATCGGCACTGGTGAATGCAACTCCTGGTCCCATTGAAAGGTTTGTTGATTTACTGCTGCTCGAGTTGCTTTCTGTGTGTGATGATTCAAGTGCTCTCAATTTTTCTTGGTGAAATATACTTGCCCTCACTGATTCACAAGTTTCCTTAGAGAATCCTAAAGTCCTTTGCTATTGGTAAGCAATCCCCTTTGTTACAGGTCTGCTTGGTGTGCCCCTGAACTGTTGGACAGTTGCTTCAAACATTGCTATATGGGTGAGTATGAATATTCATTTATGGCTCTGTCATTTGTGGTGATGAGAGCATGCCATTTTGTACCACCCCAGTCCTAGTTGTCATGCGGATTGATCTATTCTGAGCTGTCTAGTGTTAGAATTTTCAAAATGAAAAATGTGGCTGGTGCTCATGGCATTTCACTTGTTTTAGGTGCTGTTCCCTAGCTCGTCTGCTGTTGTAGGTGAGTGGATATTCATTTCAACTATTGTCATTCGTGGTGATGAGAGCATACTATTGTACTGCCCCAGTCCTAGTTGTCATGCGGATTGATCTATTCTGAGCTGTCTAGTGTTAGAATTTTCAAAATGAAAAATGTAGCTGGTGCTCATGGCATTTCACTCGTTTTAGGTGCTGTTCCCTAGCTCGTCTGCTGTTGTAGGTGAGTGGATATTCATTTCAACTATTGTCATTCGTGGTGATGAGAGCATACTATTGTACTGCCCCAGTCCTAGTTGTCATGCGGATGATCTATTCTGAGCTGTCTAGTGTTAGAATTTTCAAAATGAAAAATGTAGCTGGTGCTCATGGCATTTCACTCGTTTTAGGTGCTGTTCCCTAGCTCGTCTGCTGTTGTAGGTGAGTGGATATTCATTTCAACTATTGTCATTCGTGGTGATGAGAGCATACTATTGTACTGCCCCAGTCCTAGTTGTCATGCGGATTGATCTATTCTGAGCTGCCTAGTGTTAGAATTTTCAAAATGAAAAATGTGGCTGGTGCTCATGGCATTTCTCTCGTTTTAGGTGCTGTTCCCTAGCTCATCTGCTGTTGTAGGTGAGTGGATATTCATTTCAACTATTGTCATTCGTGGTGATGAGAGCATACTATTGTACTGCCCCAGTCCTAGTTATCATGCGGATTGATCTATTCTGAGCTGCCTAGTGCTAGAATTTTCAAAATGAAAAATGTGGCTGGTTCTCATGGCATTTCTCTCGTTTTAGGTGCTGTTCCCTAGCTCATCTGCTGTTGTAGGTGAGTGGATATTCATTTCAACTATTGTCATTCAGTGGGTGATGAGAGCATACCATTGTACTGTCCCAGTCCTAGTTGTCATGTGGATTGATCCATTTGACAGTCTAGTGTTCAAATAAGTGTAGTGAGAAGCCACTTGTACTCTTAATTCTTTTCAAGGTCATGCCAGGTGCACTTGGATTATGGCAAGCACTGCTGTGGATGGTGAACAATGCCTGGAGACAATGTTCGACCTCTTCTGGTGTTCAGTTGTCGGAAAAAATTCCAAGATATCGTCGGCCCAAGAACATTCGAATCTCAAATAAAAGATTTTCCGATTGAACATGTGTCCTGTTAGTGTTTGGCACTCTCACTTGCTAAATGTAAGCTGAGGTGCTAGTGCTCAATAACCCCATCGTGCATGCAAGAAAAGACTTGAGTTGCCTAGCAATAGAAAAGTTTCGATGGCAGCATGCTGACCGTATGTGCTTCCGTTAGTTCATACCACCTATTAGCCTGTTCACGGCAGGACAAAAGGCTCTCCTTACTACAGCAGATCCACTCCATCTTTGTGGGCAGGCCCTGCCGCTTGTCCGCTCTCTTGGTGTTCGCCTGCTTGCTTTAGGCACGTATTTACAAACCAACCTTGGCCCTTCCTCACGTTTTCCTCAAGTTCCTGTACTCTCTACGTGCGTTATAAGCGCACAGAAATGGTAACAGGGTAAAATAAGATTCGTTCATGCATACGGGCCTACTTTGCTCATCAAGCGTAATAAAGGACTGAAACCGATAAGGAAAACTCGAGGTAAGGTTGCGGTTGGTTTGTGGTGTACTAGAGCCACCTCTCAATGCACTGTGCTACCGTCGCGCTCTCATAAGGTGGTGGTGGTAGTGGTTAGAAGAAGGCACCTCCGGATAGGGAGCACGGCACAGTGCCTCATGAAAAAGGAGCAGACTAGACACTGTGGGATCTAAGCCTACCACTCCGGTCTGAAAATATTAACAAGCATTAAACCTTTACACCTCCGAAAAACATGGCAACGCCAGATATATGGAACCAGTTTTGCAGTGGCTTTTTTTTTTCTCCAAGTTAATCTTGCCGCTGGGACCATGGGACTGTGTAGAAAGGACACACGAGGGTCATGCGAGAGGGCCTGCGAGGGCTGTGTTCTACTACCGCGTACCAAAATTCCAAGTTCCTAGGCTACGCTGCCCTGGCCTAGGAACTTCCGACGGACCCTGTGAAGTGGAGGAGCTGCCGGCAAGCATTTCGTTCAAACGTTTCGTTGACGCTCAGTCACTCAGAAAATTATAATTATTTGTTGAACTCCAGATGTACCGCGTACTATGTGGAAAAAGCCACATTTGTAAAAGCGTCAGAGGTGTGCGCGCAACACGTATGAAAGAAAACCATGGTAACTGGCGAGAAAGCAAAAAAAAAAAAAAAATGCCCGTGCCGAGTTCAGTGTCCTAGATCTTGGAGGAACTTTCAAACACCTCAGCTGTGGAAGTATTCCCAGATATTAACAAAAAAATGTTCATAAAAGGGCGACAATCATCATCAGCACGTAATGTAAAAATAAAGAAAGTTAGGAGGAATTCACAATTGAAAAAGTTCAGCGCGTACACAGCAGATATTATGCACAAAACTATAAATAATATGGCTTCAACCATGGAGGCAGGAAATGAAGTTTTAACTAAGTACACCATACAGTGTTATACGTAAAAACCGGGTTTCAACTCAACACCATCAACGCGCAAAAAAATTGTTCGAAAAAATGAAATCCGATGGCGGCGGAAATGTTGTAGGCCCATGTGCTCAGATTTGGGTGCACGTTAAAAAACCACAGGTGGTCGAAATTTCTGAAGCCCTCCACTACCGCGTCTCTCATAATCATATGGTGGTTTTGGGACGTTAAACCCCACATATCAATCGAAAAAAACGAAACAGAAATATTTTGTTAAAAAGTGTTCACTAGAGGGCCTCACAATTCCCGTGGTTCCGCTTCCGCCAGCACTAGGCCTTCCTTTCCTACCAAGCTCTTCGAGGAGGCTTTCGCCATGGAGGATGTAAGTTTCAAATCGTCAATGATCTACGGAATCTAGTATTTTTTTAAACGCAATCGCTGTCGTGGATGTGACGTGGAGGCTCTACTTTATCTTGAATATTTATTATTTTCGTTTCTAGACGCTTGTTGATATATTTAATTGTGTTGTAGCGGTCGGTCATGGGGGTTGTTGCCGTAAATTAACGCTTCGGAGAACGAGCTCTTGGTGCTGGTTTAACTCAGTGTGTATGAAAAAACTGCAGATGACATGATTGTTTACTTTATACGCAGGAAAACCAGCAAGAGTTGGCCAAGAAGAAGCGTACTTTCCGCAAGTACACTTATCGCGGTGTCGACCTGGACCAACTGCTTGACATGTCCAGGTCAGTAGAGTGCCTTGCCAAATTTTCCTGGGTTTGTGGAAGTGCACAGAACCACTAAAGAAGGCAACGCAACCAAAGCCCAAATATTTACCCTGACCACGGTGTTACCCCGGCTGCCGAGGCGCCTGCACGGTGCAAATGTATCTAATCGAATCGCATTCTTGGTGGCTTATAGTATAGAGCTTGTTTCCTATAGCAAGCGAGATTCCAGCTCCGAAGATGCTTTGTTTATTGCAACGTCAACGTCGTGCAGTAGACGCATGTGACGTTGCCTTTTACTATGGAGCCGGCGGGTTGACGAAATGCCATAGCGCGATGCATGCGAAGTCGCTGAAATAGTTTCGTTGCTATACTTTCAGCACGCAGCTGATGGAGCTGATGCACTGCCGTGCAAGGCGGCGTTACTCGCGTGGTCTGAAGCGCAAACCTCTGGCCCTCATCAAGAAGCTTCGGCGCGCCAAGAAGGAGTGCGGCCCGCTGGAGAAGCCCGAGGTTGTCAAGACGCACTTGCGTGACATGCTTGTCGTGCCCGAGATGGTCGGCTCCATCGTCGGCGTCTACAACGGCAAGGCTTTCAACCAGGTCGAAATCAAGGTGCGTCAAATTCGAGCGTGCTGCTGAGGCTGCTCTCGATGGCTTTCGTGAAATCGCTACATGTAAGCTTGGCGAATGCTGCTTTTTCAGGAAGAGGCTAAAGTGTAACTGTATTTATCGTAAAATAGTAGGTAAGTTCATTCGCTTCTGCAGCATGTGCTGCACCGGTTGCCTAAAAAGCTTATTTCACATAAATGGCAGTGCACTGCTGGCAGTTTTCTTTGTTTTGGTCTTGTTGAAACTATGCGAAGCTACAGTCCACAGTTCTGGGAGCAGCTGTCTGTTATAAAATGAGCTTTCAGAGTGTTCGTGCGGTTCAAATCCCGGCTGCGGCGGCTGCATTTCCGATGGAGGCGGAAATGTTCTGGGCCCGTGTGCTCAGATTTGGGTGCACGTTAAGAACCCCAGGTGGTCAAAATTTCCGGAGCCCCCCACTACGGCGTCTCTCATAATCATATGGTGGTTTTGGGACGTTAAACTCCACATATCAATCAGTGTTCGTGCGGTTCCTCGCGGAGAGTGAGCTTTACACTATTTCACAGTGGTGCTTAAAGTGACCATGATTAAGACGGCGATTTTTGGCTGAACTGAATGTTGAGAATAGTCAGAGCACAGACGGTGACACTGTTGAGAAGCTAGTTGTATTTCATGCCCCCTCGTGCTTTGTTAAGTTTTTCATATTCGTTAGTCACTTGACTGCATTCAATGTAGGACAGAGTCGAGATCAAAAAGGCAGTTTTTCCGGTGTGATGTGTTGGTGCAAGTTATTGTAGATTTTAGGAGCATGCAATACAGGAAGTGAAATCAAGCTGAGCAAGCGGCAGAAGTGAATGATTTAAGTAAAGATGTACTCTGCTTTGAAATTGTTCTGCGGCCACAATTCATGTTTCTAGAGACTGGTAACTCGGCGAAACTGTTGCCACGCTTGCTGCACGAGATTCTATTTTGCATCGACAGCCACAAGGCAGCTACTCTCTGCACTTTGAGCCCTTTTGTGATGATTTTGTTCTCACGATGGTCTACCGATAAAAACCTGAGGACATCCTACACTAATCTGATGAAATAGCTGAAAAGCTGAAGACAGCCGCTTTTTGTTTATATCACTAAAGGTTGGTTGGTTTTTCTTGCAGCCTGAAATGATTGGCCACTACCTCGGAGAGTTCAGCATCACCTACAAGCCTGTGAAGCATGGTAGGCCCGGTATTGGTGCTACACATTCTTCTCGCTTCATCCCTCTGAAGTAGACCAATAAACTCGTTCCTCCCATTGTTCGTTCACATCCATTTATGATGATTGTTAAAAACAAATATACACAACATACAGAACCTGTATGTCCCACTAAATTGAAAAGAAAAAAAAAATCATGGAAGGGTGCCGATAGTGTAATAATAGAAGTGGACAATATTGGTATAAAGGCCCTGCAAAACTTTTTGAGCATGTTCGGAAAACGTCCATCGGTAGTTGAGGCTCCTGAGTACATGAGAGCCAAGTAATGTGTTGGCGGGCAAATATCTTCACAACAAGCACTTAGTTTCATCAGGTAGTTTGCTTGGAAAGGAGTAAAAAAATAAATGGCTACCATTATGGGGCTTTACGCCAAACTCTAGGGTTCGGTCATACTGTAGGTGACATGTAAATTTCAATATGAAGTTTAAGTAGCACTGAAATTTAAGAATGTGGCTTTACATGTCATTCCCATCTAGATGTGGCACGTTGCTAGGAATTCAACCCGTACCCTTGTTCATAGCTTCAGAATTGTGTAGCTGCTATATGGTCGGCAACAAAATGCAAGCGTGCTCCACTTGTATGAAGCACACTTTGTTCTACAGTGAAAGCTCTCCTGAGGTAGCAATTGCTAATTTTTGTGGCATTAGTTGTTCGCTGCCGCCGCCTAACTGCAATAGCTTGAATGAAGCAAAAATATTCAGGATATGGTTGAATTCAAATGCTGGCCCTCTTTGCATGGCAGCAGAATATTTTTTACACAGAGCCCCAACAGAGTTCACATTGGGCTCCAGCAAGGCAGCTCTTCCATCTTTTACTGTGCCTATGTGCTCTGCACAGGCCTGACTTCTCTTTTGTTTATAATTTGTAAATGTCAAATCGAGGTGAGTGCACTTAATGAGACCATCAAGTGGACTGATCTGATGTATATATTGCCCCGAAATGTATCTCTAATTTACTAGCAGGTACCGTTTCACTGGCTAATTGGTTCTTTCTGAACTACTGTGTGACACAATCCGAATAAAAGAGGTGTTGGAAAAAAGGAGGAGATAATATGAAAGAATGCAGACCACCAACTGTTTCTTTTATTAGCACCAGAAAGCCAGTGAAGCAACGTTACACTTGCATCATGTAGAGCCCTTCATTCTGCTTTTGAGTGCTAAACAATGGAACATTCTGATAGGCTTGTGCATATATTTGAACGAATAGTAGGGTATTCCAATTTCGTTTGATTCGTATTTAAATTATCGAATATTTTCAATGAATGAATAGGTGCATATTATTCCAAATGTACCGCCGTGATGGCAAATTCCATTGAGAGAACAGGAGTAGAGGGGCAGGGCTCTGAGGAGTGGGGGGCAGAGCACTGAGAGCAGGGCCGCTCAACCTGCCACTGGAATTCGCCGCGCTCCCGGAGGGCAGGTGAGAAGGTGACGAGTAGGGAGACCATGTGACTGAAACATTCCAAGCCCAGGCATATTCTTTGTGGGGCAGCAGCAGAATACGTGTCAAACCGGTCAGCCACACGCTCCTCATTATTCTAATACCTTGTATGTTTGTGCGACGACGCATTCGGCAGACGTCAGCTGTTGTAGCCATCCGTACAAAACAGCGGTGTCAAAACAACTACACATGGTTGCTATAATTGCCGCTGCGCTCGCCGGCTGAAGAAAAATTCAGAAGCCGCGACATTCAAGGACCCCGTGACTCGTCGTACTGCACCTACTCTGCTTTACAAGCGAGAGCACTGCAAACTGCTCCTGGCTGCTCTTGGCGCTGCAAAAACACTCTCGCTCTACCAATGGATGACAGTGCTCCTGCACCTGTTCGACCACTGAAACACGGCGGCTCTGAAGAGAGCGTGCTTTTGGGTGCTCCTGCTCTCGCAATGGAATTTGCCCTAAAGAAGGTTTTACGGCAGTGTAGGGGTGCCAAACTGTGAAAGTACTTATCCAGGAGAAATCTACTCTGCTGCGAAGCCACCCTTCAAATTTAAAGGGGCCCTGCAACACTTTTTGAGCACTGTCAGAAAACGCTGCTCATCGCTAGTGGAGGCTACCGAGGACACGCAAGCCAAAAAAATTGCTCGCTTCTTGCGGCAAACGACTCCACAAGCTCGGAAAGCACGCCAGACGAATTTTCTTTCCCCGTGCTATCCCTCCCTGCTTAGCTTCTCAGCACTTACGTCGGGATGAGAAGAATGAATGCTCTTGCAGCGTGCAACACATTTTTGCAACTGCGTGCGTACTGGACGAATTCTAAACATTTTTGCGGCGGCGAATTCACGAGGCAATCGGCTTCTTTAGTGAACCCATTCCATAGCTACTTGAAAAAATGCTGCACGGCCCCTTTAAATGAAAATATTACCCTGATATCAATTCATTTTAATAAGCTTAAATGTTTGTTACGGCTTACATGCTCTAAGTATATTAAGGGGGCAGACTGGTCTTTGGGACCAAAAGACAAAAAGATATCTCTAAATTTTCACAAACCAGAAAGGGGTACTTTTTTTGTAATGTCACTCTAACTGTTCAGATTTTAACATGCAGAACCTGCAAAAAAGTGGGGAACAGACTTTCAGGCTTCTTTATAATTTGCCGGCACCTGTGTTAGAAGCTCTGCTATGAATTTATGAGCACCTTTACGAGTATTCAACACATGCGCTCCACGATTGTAGCTTTTTGAAGAAGCTGCGCGTTATAAGTTGTTTCCATTTTTCCCCAAAAAGTAAATTTACGACTGTTCAATTTTGAGGCCTCAATATTTCTGCAGCTAGGGCAGGTACAACAATAATTCTTTTCGCAATGGAAACCTGTATGTGTGTAGAATACAAGTGTGGGAGCAGAATTTAGAGCACAAGCCTTTTTAATTAATTACTCATCAAAATTGTAACTTAATTGCAAATGCTTTGAAAATGCATAGTTAATTTTGCTATAATATAACCAAGAAGGACTAAAAACAACAACAAAAAAAGTCTCACACAATTTGAATCTATAGTCATTAGTCGATGTTTACATGTTTTAAATATAACGTAAGAACTTTTTTTCCGTGGTGGCCTTAAACAATAGGGAGTGAACTTAAGTTATCTCAGGAACAAGATGAGTTACAGAAAAACTAATTAAATATTTGAAACCAGCAGAAAAAACTGCATAATCCTGTGCAGTTTGATCAAGATCACTGAAAAAATAAAAAAAGTCCAAGACCAGTCTGCCCCCTTATATGTTAAAATGTTACATATTTTAGGGGTTATGACTCGCATCCTGCCGAAAGTCGAATCCTGCTACTACTAGAAGTTGTTTTGACTTCCTTTCAACTAAAAAGGCATTTGCGTAGAGGTCCTATTTCAATTTTTAAAAATATTGTGCAGGTTAGTTAGGTCAAGATAAATATGCCCATTTTCTTAATGTTATATATACTATTCAAATTTGATTGAAATTATTTGACCAAAATCATTATTCACTTCGAACCTGAAATTCACTATTCGCACAAGCCTAAACATTCAGTGCATAGCAGAACACAAGTTGCATTTTGTTTGTTGCAGATGCTCTAACAAACGCTATTATGGAATGAACTGCATTAAAGTGCTTATTTGGGCCGGCTGGAACATGATCAACGAAGCAAAAAAACAGCGCGTGTGTGTGTGTGCCAGTGCACATTCGATCCTCACCAGGAAATTTGACATGTGAATGATTGCATAATCAGTTTTTTTTCAGATGCATACAAACATAACAAATTCTCAAGTTTCGTGTGCTATATACAGCCCCATGTATGAAATACACCTTGGTTGTAAGTCGGTGCTTCGTCCATCTCCGTCATTGTCCTGTGTTACGCGTTGTTATTTCGCTTCATTGGCCATTACGGAACTGCAATATCTTCTTTCAGTTCAAATTTAATGGCTTTAAACTTCATTTTTCATTCTACGAAAGTGTTTAATGCCGTGTCCTACTATGGCTTCACTGATATATTTCCATCACGAATATGTGACAGATAGCAAAGAAAAAAAATCTTAAAGAAAAATACACCACCTCCCACTAAAAGGAACCATGTGGGGATGCGAAGCAGCACTGGTTTCTCACTTGTGTTTCCATTTGTTTTTTCCCATTTGTATCTTTTCATGTATGTTTCACTTTATGTGGAGCTGTGTATACGTTGTGTACCGCTTAAGATACCCCCCCCTCCCATTTATGTGTATTACCGTGCGTGTGCCGCAGAGTGAACACGCAGTGCTGCTAGGAGAGTGCAATGGAGCGAGCTTGTGTAGCATTATGCACGAGTGCACAGCTGTGGTGAAGGGATAAACGGGAGAGAAGAAATGAAGGGAAGGCTGCACTCTGCCACCTCCTCCCACCTCCGTGCACTCATCAAGGAGAGGGGGGAGAGTTGGCGCATGTGCAGTTGGGGAGCGTATGGTAGCTGAGAGACGGACACAGCTTTGAGCAAAAGCTGCTTTGCGCTTTAAGTTACGTCACGGGGCGTCAAACCTATGACCCTTCGCACAGCGACGAGACACCACTTAACCGCTGTGCGTACGATCTCCAGCTTACTATAGGCAAGCTATTTATATACACTATATTGCCACCTGGCCATGAACTGCGGCGAGCACGAGCCCGCATCGAGGAGAAGAAACGAGGAAGAAGTTGTTGGGCTAGCGCGCTCTCGCCGAGGCTTTTGTTTTTTGGTTGTGGTGTCCCTGACCTGCGCCTCTGTGACTACGCGGTATTCTTTACCTGAAGTCCCTCTTGTTCACGCGCGACAACTGGTGGAGTCGCTGGGTATTCCCAGTCAATGATCCAAACGCCTCCTGGGAGCCCTATACCCGCAGTCGCAACACCTGTCCACCGGGCCAGCCGGAGAATCCGAGGATTGTCCCCCGAGCGTGAACCTCTACCGGAGATGGCATCAACTGCACCACCCCAGAGCGGTACGGAAAATATTCCGATGGCTAATTACACGCTGCAGAAGCCACGAGTGCCGAAGGTGTTCCGTGGCTCCATGTTGGAGGATGTTGTGGACTGGTTGGCTCACTTTGAACGCGTTGCGGCTTTCAACGAAT